CCAGCCCCTCACCGCTCTCACAGCACACAACTTCCCCTCACATCCAAACCACTTCCCTTTATTTCTGTTGTACTGTTCAGTGTAAGGACAAACCAAGTGGACTTCCAAGCCAATTACATTGTGAGTCACTGTCCCAGTGGTTGTTCCTGAGCCCTGGGGATGTGGCACTGGGGGATGTGGGCAGTGGGCATGGGGGGGGTGTTGGGTTTGGGGATCTCAGAAGTCTTCTCCAGCCATAGTGATTCAGTGATTCTATAAATATTTATAGTTGTAACAGGACTAATTAATTAGTTTCTCCAAAACTAATGGACGTGTGTCATAGTTGTTAAATTCTTTATTGAGGCTTTGTTTAAGTAGTTCTCACAGTGACTGGAATGAAGGGTTACGACATGACTGATTTAATCTGGAAGGCATTACTTTGTCAGGGGGCTTACATAAATAACCATTTGCTAACCTGAATGCTTGCTAATAATAAACTAATGAGTATTTGCTAGTAAACCTGCCTCTTTTGGCTTTGTGATGTAGGATGTTTTTGATGATGGATGCCCCATCCCTGCAGGCATTGGAGGCCAGGCTGGATGTGGCTCTGGGCAGCCTGGGCTGCTGGTTGGTGACCTGCACACAGCAGGGTTGGAGCTGGATGAGCATCGTGCTCCTTTGCAACCCAGGCCATGCTGTGATTTCCTTTTTTCCTGGTGTGTTGGTCTGATGCTCTTTCATTTTCCTGACATCTGCTGAGTGGAGGAGTTGGACTTCACTGTCATATGCAGTACACATATGTGAAATAAATATTGTTTCTGCCCCAAAGAGCTCAGTGCATTAAGGCACAAATGAGAGCACAAGTGCCCTGAAGGGGAATTCTTATGGGAATTAAAAAGCATTTGGTGAGACTTGGCAGGAGAGGCAAACCTTGGTTCTGCATGAGGAGGGGGCACACAGCCTGTACAAATGTTAAAAGTAAATCCCAAATCCTCTGACTTTTCTTGCAATACAGTAACAGCATAAACTTGTGTGATGGTCTGTGCAGGGTGGCACTGAGATCCCAGTGAGATGAGCTCCCTGGAGCACCAAAATAGCTTAAATAGTCATTGCATTCCATCTTCTATTGCCTCACTGAAATAACCAGCGTTGCACAAGGTGGAGTGGTGGTGCTTTTCCCCAGATCAATGAATGTACATACGTTACCTCCATCTCTCACAGGCCCTGGAGATGTACAAGGACGACTGGAACAAGGTCTCGGAGCACGTTGGCAGCCGCACCCAGGATGAGTGCATCCTGCATTTCCTAAGGCTCCCCATTGAAGACCCCTACCTGGAGAACTCAGATGCGTCCCTCGGCCCCCTGGCCTACCAGCCTGTGCCCTTCAGCCAGTCTGGCAACCCCGTGATGAGCACTGTTGCTTTCCTGGCATCGGTGGTGGACCCTCGTGTGGCATCAGCAGCAGCAAAGGCTGCCTTAGGTACGAGTTCATCCCTGCAGTTATTTCCACTTTCTCTGTGCATCTCAGTTCCTACAGGTTCTTGGAGACGGTGAGATGTTCTCAGGTCTAACGGCCAGCAGTGTATTTTGGTGCACTGGAACTTGCTTTGTAGACGGGCTGGAATAACTCTTAGAAGCCATTGAGTTCCCTTTCTGTGCTCGCTGCCCAGTGGTGCTTTGCAGGCGCTGCCCTGGAGTTGCAGTGGCTGATTGCAGTTGGCTGGCTGTGTGTAAATGCACAATGCTAAACTTCCATTTTCCCATTTCCTACTGTTGAAACTCTCAGCCACAGCTGTACCCCCTGGGAAACTCAATGAAATAGGATTTGGGAGTTTTTTCCCTTATTTTCACATGTAAAACCAAATGTATGTGATTGGAAAGAATCTCTCGTACCACATCGGAGAGAGAAAATCAGGCACTGAATGCAGAAAGAAGGAACGTGCTCTCTCAAATACATCTTTGAGAACTCATTTTGACACCAGGCTCACCTGCGTGCTGATTTGAGATCGTAACCATTAATTTTCCTTTAATAACCCCCCGAGTAACATCGTGGCTAATTGTTCACAGAGGAGTTCTCTCGTGTCAGAGAGGAGGTGCCCCTGGAGCTGGTGGAAGCCCACGTGAAGAAAGTGCAGGAAGCAGCACGTGCCTCAGGGAAGGTGGATCCCACCTATGGGCTGGAGAGCAGCTGCATTGCTGGGACGGGGCCGGACGAGCCAGAAAAGATGGGTGAGCATCTGAATGCAGAGAGCTGCACACAGCTGTGCTGGGCCCTTTCTTGTGCCTCTGGATTGACTGAGCCCACCTGCAGCAGGAGATGCTGTTGGTAAGGGGCAGCACCAGGGATGGTCATTCCTCTTGTGCTTGCTGCAGGATTACAGCAGGTGGGCTGTAGGATTTATAACTGTGAGGGTGGATGATGATAGGACAAGGGAAATGGTTTTAAAGTGAGATAGGGGAGGTTTGGGTTGGATATGAGGAGGAAGTTTTTCAGCCAGAGGGTGGTGAGGCAGTGGCACAGGTTGCCCAAGGAGGCTGTGGATGCCCCATCCCTGCAGGCATTCAAGGCCAGGCTGGATGTGGCTCTGGGCAGCCTGGGCTGCTGGTTGGCGACCTGCACACAGCAGGGGTTGGAACTGGATGAGCATCATGCTCCTTTGCAACCCAGGCCATTGTGGGATTCTGTGGTTATTGGCTCCTGACAACGAGTTAATAACTCAGCACCACCTTTAGTTCTAGCAGTTTGTTTTCCTGCTGTGGACTAATGGAAGTTTTCTTGCTTGGCAAATGCATGAGTTGAATGGGCAGAAATAGCAGAGCAGATTTCATGCCAGTCCTGTGGATTGGAGCAGTTGGACAGTGCTGCCTTTCCAGTGTTGTGGTTATGACACAGCAAGCTGAGTTCTGTTGGCTCTTTGTGGTCCAGTTGAACCTGTTGTTTCTCAGACACCTTAGCTCTGCATTGGCTCTCCTTATGGCTGTAAAGTGGAAGAGGGCAGATACAGACCAGATATGAGGAAGAAATGAGGAGTAAAGAACTGTGAGCGTGGTGAGACACTGGCACAGGTTGTGCAGTGAGGCTGTGGATGCCCCCTGCCTGCAAGCACTGCAGGTCAGGCTGGATGGGGCTGTGAGCAGCTGCTGTGCTGGGAGGTGTCCCTGCCTACAGCAGGGGTTGGAACTACGTGATCCTTAAGGGCCCTTCCAACCTCAACCATTCTATGATTGCACAGCAGTAAGGCGAGCACAGAGGGATATTTAGCTGCATACCTGCTAGTGTTCTCAGATCCCTTCATCTCCCGAGCTTTGCACAGATCTGCCAGCTCCTCAGTGTAGCATTATTTTTCACTCCAGCACTGCTGGCTGCTGCTTCGTTCAGCTCGCTGCAGATGACAGTGGTGAGTTCAGCGAGTAGCTTTGGTCAGAACAGTGCTGGCTGTGCTCTGGGCTGACAGGGGGTTGGTTGGACCTGGCTTTGTGCATCTCATCCTTGAGTTGCTGTCAGCCTGTCCGGAGACACTAACACAGTGCACACTGCGTGATGGGATGGTGAGGGACTGTGCTCCAGTCCATACAACTGAAGGTGAAGAGTTACTTACTGTCCAGCCTGATTTTGTGCCCCTTTTCTGTGTTCCTGTTGATAGAATGAGAGGTGGTGGCCTCAGCTTGAGCTGGAAGAAGGTGGGGTTGGATACTGGGAACAATTTCTTCTCCAAAGAGCAGTTGAGCAGTGGCACAGCTGCCCAGGGGATGGGGTAACCATCCCAGGGGTGTTCCAGGACCATAGAGACGCGACACTGTGGGCATGGTGGAATGGCTGGCAGTTGGACTTGCTGGTCTGAGTGGACTCTTCCAACCTGAATGATTCTCTGATGCTCTGAGAACAACTTTTGCTGTAGTATTCACCCCAAGGACCTCTGTCATGAGTTCTTTGAGCCTTCCTTCTCCGTCTTGCAGCACAGTTGTGGCAGTTCACCATATCCACGTCACTGGCAGAGTTGCTGGTCTGGCAGCCCTTCCTTTAGGAGAACCTTGCCCACAACTTGCAGGCAGGACCGTTGAGATGCTTGTCATGTAATGTGTGGAGCTGGAGAGCAGCTGCCCATAACACGATTACTTCTGAATGAGCTGCACTGAGTTGTATAAGTAATACTGCCCTGTTACGGCTAATGCGATTTGTGTTGGGCTGTGACTAATGGCATAAATTAGGACAACAGCAGATGGCTCTCCCTGGGGAGCTGCTGAGCAGCAGTGAAGTGGGTCACTGTGATCAGCACCTCCAGCTCAGCCGTGGGTCGTGCTTTAGGGCCCAGTTGGGTTTGCTGGGCTGAGCTGCAGCTGTGCTTTGGTGGCCGGACCCAAAGAGGTGCATCTCACCACAGAGAGCTAAAAATGCCCACTGTGGTTTTTGTACTGTAATTAGAGCTCGTCAGCTGGTGTATTTTAGAAGTAAGGCTCTTAGTGTTGGTGAGTTATAGGCACTGCAGAGAGCAAAAGGGGGAAGCGGCGCTGGAGCAGTTCCTGGAGGCACCGCTGATATCCAGGAACACAGGCTGTCCAGTCCTTGTTGTTGGAATCTCCAAGCCGTGGCTCCTTTCAGATTGAAACTGTAAAGCCCAGCAGAGTCAAGAGAGGCTCCCCAGGGCTGTGTGTTATCAGTGTGATGGGAGATGCTTCTGTTGTAATGAAAATGAGCCACCAAAGGAGCCCGGCTCTGTGGGTGGGGACGGAGCTGCAGAGCAGTGAGCAGCACACCCGTGTGCTCAGCATTCCTCCCACATCTCCTCTGAGCGTGTGTGCTTTCCTAATAACTTTCCAGAGGTGATTAACTGCACTGCCTGCATATATGTGTGCCAAATCGGGCACTGGGGAGTCTCTGAAGTGCCCGTGGTGGAGGCAGTTACGTGTGGATTCAGGCCTTAGCTACCAAGTATTTCCCTGGCACTGTTTCCCTGGTGGGGTATGGATGCTTTGCACTGTAGCTCATCTGTGACAGCAAACAGTGGGGGAATGGTGCTCTGATTTACTGCTCCACTGCAACTGTAAGCAACGTAAGTGATGATTAAATTTAACACTTTACGGCCAGTCTTGTGACGTACAGTAGAGAAGCCAAACATGGGTACAGAGGAGAAGCTTTTTTACCTCATTTGTGGCAGGATGATTTCTTGTGGGTTCCCCAGGCTGTGCTTTAACTCGGAAGTATTCCAAACCCTGCTGAAATGGGCAGCTTCCCTCCCCACAGCTGGAGCCCCAGGGCTCAGTGCAGCTCCTGCCATGGGGGTGAGGAGCAGCTCTCCTTTCTTCTCTCCCATCCTGCGGGTTTCACATTTCAAAACCTCTGAATGGTGTCAGAGCATCGTGGCTGTCCTGCAAAAAGGATTGCAGGGTCTTTCTCACTGCAGTTAAGTCTTCCCCTTTGGTGTTAGAAACGTGCATCTCCAGCAATCAGCGCTCATTTGCATCACCAGTTTTATTCTCTGTGACCTGATGCCATCACGTCACAAAGTCCAGAAGGCTGTGTTTGTGTCTTGCAGAAATGCAGGAGTGGTTTCTCTTACCTCTCACATGGGGGCTCAGAAATACATCTATTTTTCTTTGCAGATCTTTTCGTACTTGAGTTTGTGATTCATTTTCATTGGATGTTAATTGCTTACAAGGTACTGGAATTACCTTTCATCCAGAAGCAAAAACCTGCTTGAACCCAGCTAAACCCATTTGTAACTCCCAAACTAACAAGCAGCAGCTCCCTTCTTACTGCATGTAGGACTTCCACGTGGGCTCCTTGGTGTGCACAAGTATGGAATGAATGGCACAGCCAGCAGGAGCTGTCAGTGCAGATGGTGGCCTGGGAGCTGACACAGGGCAGCACTTCTCAAAATCCATTGACTCCAACCTGCCTCGAGTTGTCATCCTCAGTTCAGAGCAACATGTTTTCTTACAGCCAGGACTTGCAGACCTAAGTTAAGTCAGGATGTTCACAGTAATCTTGCTGTCACACGTAACATACGTCCTAATTCTTTCTGTAGCTGAATGTGACCCTCTGATACAGGAGAATTTCTGAAAGAGTCACTCAAGTGTGCTCAGCGAGTCCAGGAGTACTTGCTGTTCCCTGCTGAGAATGCTGTGATGGTTTTAGTTGAGAACTTTCCATGTGAAGGCTCAGAGGAAGGAGCATGCTGGGCTGGATGGGGCCCTGAGCAGCCAGAACTGGTGGGTAGCAGCCCTGAGATGGCAGAGGGCTGGGCTGGAACGTCCCTTCCAGCCTAACCATTCTGTGGCCAGCTCTCTGACCCTTGCAGTGTGTTTGCCTTGGCACATCTTCTGTGGCAGCATCACTAGCGATAGCCGCCAGGATCTGCAAGTGAAAAAGGAATACTTGATGGAGCTCACCTCGGCTGCTGTGGAGTTCAGCAGCGAATGCCTGAGGAGCAGCAGCAGTGGTTGGCCGTGCAGCTGCACAGCACGACCCACGTGAAGATCTCTGGGTGCAGCAGGGCACCACGCTGCACCATCCACTGCTTTTCTTTACCCTGAGACTGGCAGCTTTGCTGTGTGTTGTACTCAGAACACAGAAACCCTCACCTCCAGGATTGAGGTTAGAACAGAAGGGGAAATTCAGGCCTATCTGAAAGACCTGAGTTTGGCTTTTGGGTAGAGCAAGAAAGCCCGTGTCCTATGGGACTTGCTCTGAGCTGTAACTTCTGAGGTGCTTCCCTTTCCACCACAAATTGAATCATGGTGGCAGATGGGTTGGATAAGTAGATTTATCTTCTTCAAGTCAGGAAACCATCATCTTGGTCAGAGATGTCAATGTATTTTTTTCTTCTACACTGTTTAATGATTTTCTTATATACATGGTAGGGGCTTCTGTAAAAACTTTTCTACAGAGCTATTGCTGTTGAAGGAATGCATTCTGTGCCTCTGTTTTGCTTCAGTGCAGCAGGGGGGAATTAGCAGTAAAAGGAGGATTACAGAGAACAGCCCCCCTCCACCAGCTGGTGTCTTCAGATGGGTGAGGGCTTTCCAGCAGCACTGCTGTGTTGGTACAGCAGTGTGTGCTGGAGCCCTGGGCTAAGCAAGCTCCCTTCTTAATGCCTGTGTACGTGAAATTGCACTGGGGTGTCTGTTCTGGCAGCTGTGGGATCCTGGGTAAGGAGCACAAGGCTGTGCTGAAGCTTCCTTCTGGTCTTGTTATGGAACAGTTGGGGTTGTTTGGCCTTTAGAACAATTTTTGGGCAAAGTGTTGGGAAGTGGTGCAATGCTCCGTCACCTTCCTGGTGTTCTGCATCGAAACACTTGTTATCTCATGTCCTTCTCCATCAGCACATTTGGTATCTCTTATCATGAAAGGCCTC